CCCGTCTTCCCAGAGTCGGAAGGTGGACGCACGTGTCCCCGTGAAGTGGCGCGGCGGCTGCGGGGCGCGGTATTCCGGGGGAGACCCTCCCATCGCCCACCCTCTGACCCTCTGAGCAGCGGGGCCCGCGTCCTCGCCCTCACGCCCACCCCCGAAGTCCCGCGGTCCCCCTGGGCCCAGTTCCGGGGTGGCCGGGGTGCCTTCCTTAAACCTGGGTCAGAGCAGCGAGCAGCAGGCGGCGGCTGTGCGCTGTGCGGGCCGCCTGCACGTGGGGTCCTTGTCCAGCGACTGCGCTCAGCCCCCACACCCCCAGGCTTCACACCTGCAGTCCAGCACCCACAGGTGGCGACTGGGAACCGCAGGGGTGGGGGCGGGCCGTGTGCAGTGTGAGTGGACTCAGGTGTGCGGGGTGTGTGGGGTCCCGGAGCCCATCCCCTGTGGATGCCCAGGGGTGACTGTTACGTTTTGGGGGAGCAGAGTTACATGTGGATTTTCCGCCGTGTAGGGGGGGGTGGGGTTTGCAAAAAAATCAGCTGCATTTTACATGACTAGATTCTAATGCAAACCTGAGAAAACATTTTTTTCTTCCTCAAAGTAGAGCTATTTCGTAGACAGCCAGCATTTTAAGGCTTTCTTAGCTTGCGTGTGTGAGAGCTTCGTTTTTCGGTACCTGTTGGGAAATCAAGTCTCTCGATAGACTCACACGTCGACACTTAACGAGATGTCAGAGATGTCACTGGATAATCTATCAAAGTTTAATTTGCTCAAATTTGAAAGAATTGGGTATATTAACTTTTAGAATAATTGAAATCCATTTAAAAGTCATTTTTAATAAACTCCTTTCACCAAATTTTCCCCATTATTTTAGTAAAAGTTATTTGTTCCTTCTAAATATAAAAAACAATATATTTGGATTATATTTACACTTTATTATCTAAAAAGTCCATTTCTTTGCTTTCATTCTTTTTTCCTCCGTATTGGCGTGTCATTTATAAATATATATGTGTGTGCACCTGTGTACATACAATATGTGCAGTGGAGCCTTGGACAACAAGGAATTGCAATTTTCGTCCTGTGCTGACAAAAATCCACCTACACCTTTGGATTTTCCAAAACTTAGCTACCAACAGGCAACTGTTGATCAGAAGTCTTGCCTGTAACATAAACGGTCAGTGAACACCTGTTTTGTGTGTTATATGCGTTGTGTTCTCACAGCACAGCCAGCTAGAGAAAAGAAAGCGTGAGTAAGAAAATCATGAGGAAGAGAAAATACATTCACGGTACTTATGGGAAAGATCTGCCTGTGAGTGGACCCGCGCAGCTCAAACCGTGTTGCTCAGGGTCACGCATGTGCGTGCGCATGTGCGTGTGCATTCACACGTGTGTGCAGTCGCTAAGGAGAATGCACGGGCACCGCAGGGTGCCGGTGTTGGTGCACATGGTGTTCACCTAGCTGTCGCATGTCTGTGCCAGCTGGCGGGGTGAAACCACAGAGGTCAGGTGCGGGGGTCGGTGGGCCCTCCTTCCTGGGCCCCGCTGTGCCCGTGTGTTCGAGGCTTTGCTCACCTCGGAGCGGCCAGTTTCAGGCCCTGCCAGCCCACTGTCCCCGCCCACGCGAGGGCCCGGCCCGCGGGATTGCGATTGTTTAGTTCACAGCAGCCGGCGGGTCCCCTTGTTGCCTGGAGGCCTTTGGAACCAGCCCCAGAGGAGGCGCATGTCTGGGTGACAGGGCAGCCTGTCACAGCCCGGTAGCGAGGAGCAAGAGGGTGACGGCTCGCGTGTGACCGTGTGGCGCGGAGTGCTCCTGGGCCAAGGGACGCACCTGTGAGCCCTGACGTCTCGCCTCCGGGCAAGGCGAGCCGAGCTGCCCACGACACACGTCACCTGTCAGACGGCACACGTCACCCGCGGGCGGATTCTCTGGGAACAGGCCTCCGGGTGGCCTGGCCTGGCCCTGCATGCGGACGTCCAGGAAGCGGCCTGGTCC